CTGCAATAATTGTTTAACTGGTCTCACTGCCTCTAATATTATCTCTCTTCTTGGGCAGTAAAACAAATGGAAATATTCACCTGGCCATGTTGCTTAAAATAGCTTTTCAGTGGGAGTCTACAGAAGAATGTCATAACTCTTCCACATGAACTAATAGCCTATCCATATCTTGAGACATTCTCTTTCTACCCTCATCTCTAGCTAGCCCCCACTCACATTTTATGCCCTAGTGATTCATTGGTGGTAGTAATAAAATCTACTTGTAGTGTTCACCTGACCATTTGCTTCAAATAGCCCTGTAGCATGAGTCTTTGTGTAGTTCTCTACCCATTCCATTCTGTTTCATACCTTTCAGCCTCAGCTCAGGTGATTCCCATCTCGAGTTATTCCAACACATGTTCATTTCCCTTTCCGTGTCAGACTCACATGATGATTTATACCACTGTATTGGAATTATCTGCTCATATATTTCTCTTTTTGCAAGCAAGACTATAAACTCCTTAAGGAGAATGATCTTAATTATAGAACCCAAAACCTGGTAAACGGGTAACAATATCTTTCTTCCCCAACTGAGAATATGACGGTATCTTGGCAATATGAAATATAGACTGCATTTGTTTTTTGTTGTTGTTGTTGTTGTTATGTGCCGTCGAGTCGTTTGCAACTCATAGCGACCCTATGTACAACAGCCCTAAACCCTGCTCTATCCTGTGCCAATCGCATTGCCTCTGACACACCCATCCCGATTACCCCAGTCACTGAATCAGTCCACCTCATAGAGGGTCTTCCCCCTCCTGCGCTGTCCCTCTACTCTACCCAGCATGATGTCCCTCTCCAAAGACCTCTCTCTCCTTGCAACATGTCCAGAGTATGTCAGACGAAGTCCCAGAATCCTTACCTCCAAGGAGTAGCCTGGTTTAACCCTCTCTAGGATGAATCTGTTTGTTTTCTTGGCAGTCCATGGTACATTCAATACTCTTCTCCCGCACCACAGCTCAAAGGCATCAATTCTCCTTCGGTCCTCCCTAGTCATTGTCCAGTTCTCTGATGCGTAACAAGTGATTGCAAAAATCATGGCCTGTATCAGGCGCACCTTAGTCTCCAAAGAGACACGGTTGCTCTTGAGTACTTTAGAGAGGTCCCTAACAGCAGACTTTACCATCACAATATGTTTTTTATTTCCTGGATGCTGGTGCCAAGAGTGTTGACTGTGGAGCCGAGCAAACTGAAGCTGTGAACAATCTCAATCTCTTGGCCGCCCATCCTGATGCTGCCAATTGGTCCAGTGGTGAGAATCTTTGTCTTCTTGACATTGAGCCTCAGTCCATACTGAAGGCTGCAGTCCTTGACCCTCTGCAGTAAGTGCATGAGGTCTTCCTCAGTTAACAGCGAGCAAGGTTGTGTCATCTGCATAACGCAGATTGTTGATAGATCTTCCACCAATCCTAATGCCACAGGAAGAGTGCAAAAGGTCATTACAAAGACAGAAGAGGAAGAAAAGTCCAAAATGGATGTCAGAAGACACTCTGAAGATTGCACTGGAACGTAGAGAAGCCAAAACACAAGGAAGGATTCAAGACACTAAAGAGCTGAACAGAAGATTCCAAAAGGCAGCATGGAATGACAAAGCAAAATATTACAATGAAATGTGCGAGGATCTAGAGTCGGAAAGTCAAAAGGGCCGAATTCGTTCAGCATTTCTTATGCTCAAGGAACTGAAGAGTAAATTCAACCCTCGAGTTGCTACAATCAAGGATGCTTTGGGCAGAATGTTAAATGATCCAGGAGGTATCAAAAGAAGATGGAAAGAATATACTGAGTCATTGTATAGAAAGGAATTGGCAGATACAGAAGAATTTAATGAAATAACATTTGAGCAAGAGCCTATGGTGATGAAGGAAGAAGTTCAAGCTGCTTTGAAGGAAATAGCAAAAAATAAGGCCCCAGGAATAGATGGTATACCAATTGACATATTTCAGCTAACAGATGCTACCCTGGATGTGCTCACCAAGCTGTGCCAAGAAATCTGGAGAACAACCACTTGGCCAACTGACTGGAAGAGATCTATCTATATTTGTTCCCATTCCAAAGAAGGGTGACCCAACTGAGTGTGGAAACTACAGAACAATAGCATTGATTTCACATGCAAGCAAGCTTCTACTGAAGATTATCCAAAAACGACTGTAACAGTACATCAGCAGAGAACTGCCAGAAGTCCAGGCTGGGTTTAGAAGGGGTCGTGGTACTAGGGATATTGTAGCCAATGCTAGATGGATCTTAGCTGAAAGCAGAGAATAACAGAAGAATTATGCAAAGGCATTTGACTGCGTGGATCATAACAAACTGTGGCTGACTCTGAGAAGAATGGGAATCCCAGAACATTTAATCGTGCTAATGCGAAACCTATACTTGGACCAACAGGCAGTCGTCAGAACAGAGCAGGGCAACACTGCATGGTTCAAAATTGGGAACGGTGTACGCCAGGGATGTGTCCTATCTCCATACCTTTTCAACCTGTATGCAGAGCAGATTATCCCAGAGGCTGGGCTCTATGAGGAGACTACATTTAGCAAGGTAAAATTTTAAGAAGATACAGCTGGGTTTAAAAGAGAAAAAGAAAATAAGTCTCAGTCAAAATACAAAGTAAAGGAACACAATCCCAGAGGAATGCGGTTCGAATCCACCAGATGCTCTGCCGGAGAAGGAGGCGCAATATCCTCCTGTACCAGTCAGATCTGATTTGACGGTGCACGCACACACAATAATAAAAAAAAAAAAATACAAAGTAAAGGAACAAAGAATCACCACCATCAGTAAAACAAAAGGGACAAGAAAAAGAAGGGCTCTGTTTCTGGTTGATTATTTTGCTCCCCTTTAACAGTGGGGTGCCACACACTGACCGAGTGCCCAGGATGGGGAAAGGAACTTGTTTTGCTGGTCAGGCCACAACAGAGTCCTCCGATAAATGTCCCGAGGAAGGGAGCTAGGAGAGTGAGAGAGGATGACGCCCTCAGATGAGCAGCAGTTGAAACAACAAAGGCTGTTTCATCACTGAATTCTGATGACTAGAGAGGACTTTCATTGGAACCTCCAAATAGAGAATTAAGCCACTGAATTGAAACTTCCAATAGGAACTATGTGACAGTTGTTTTTGTGTACCGTAGAGTCAGAACCGACCCATAGCTGACCCTCTGGCAGGTTTTACAGTTAATTGCACGGTAGGAGATTGCCCATCCTTCTCGCGCGGAGCAGCTGGTGGCCTCAGGATTCTTGCCTTCAGGATTGCAGCGCAGCTTCTTGCCACTAGGCCACCAGAACTCCTGTGTAACAATTCTGTCTACTAATAATGGAATAGGGAGCTCTGATGGCCTAGTGGCAGGAAACTGCTGCAAATCCAAAAGTTCGAGGCTACCAGCTGCTCCGTAAGAGAAGGATGGACAATCACCTCCTGTGCAATTAAATGTATCTGAAAACCCACCAGAGGGTCAGCTATGGGTCAGTTCTGACTCTACAGTATACAACAATAAAACAACAGTAATGGAGTAGTAGGGAGCCCTGGTGGCCTAGTGGCATGATGCTGCGCTGTAATCTGAAGGCACTCTTTTCGAATTCCACCAGCTGCTCTGCAGAAGGATGAGAATCTCCTCTCATGCATTAACTGCCTCTGAAAACCCTCAGGAGGGTCAGCTATGGGTTGGATCCGACTCAGTGGTACACAACAACAATAATGGAATAGGCTGACTTGTAAGAGCTACTCAATGTAATGTTCAGCCAGGAGCCCCTGGGAAGAAGCACTGTACACAGGATCCAAACTCTGAGAACATTTGGACGCGATGTCCTTTTAGACCTGATAATTTCACTCGTTAATGATCTTATTTACTGAATATTGGGCGATGAATACCAGCTACACCTTTTCACATTAGAATGCCTCCATGTCCCCCCTAAGGAAATGATCTTTTAATTACCCATAAGTCTGAACTTGAATAGACCGGTCACATCATTCATTAGACATCTGCTCAAGAAAACATCTGAAAAGTCTCACTTAGTTTATTCAGAGCTTGCCACGATCTCACGTTCCTTTCTGGAAAGTTGAGTCAAGTAAATACCTTTTCCCCTTTGCTTTTTTTTAAAAAATTTATTATTATTTTTTTTTACAGAGGTTTTGGATTTCCATTCATTCATTGCCGCAGTTTTCTCTCTGCCCACCCCTCCCCACCAGCTCGCTTCCCCCTCTGAGGAGAGAAAAAAAAAGAAAAAAAATTCCTTCATTAGTATACAATTCCCACGTCCCTTCCCCCCACCCCTCACCCTGAGTACACTTTTCTATGCAACCTTAATTCTGGATTCCTGTGCTAACCATAATACTCAATCATATATCACTTCTAATCTGTTCTTTCCCTCATCTGTTTCAATACAATATACATAATTTATCCAGTTTTTTCTGTCATACCCCCACCCTGATGTCAGACCCATTCTACAACAGTGGCACCATGCAGTATCTGTCACTCTGTGACTGAGATATTTCACTCAGCATAATGGCCTCCAGGGTCACCCACTTTGAATAATATTGCATGAGTTCCTTGTTTTTCAATGCTGCGTGGTATTCCATTGTGTGGATATACCACAGCTTCTCTATCCATTCGTTTGTTGATGGGCCCTTAGGCGGCTTCCAACTCTTTGCTATTGTAAACAAAGCTGCAATAAACATGAGTGTGCATATATCTCCTTGGATGGCAGACATGGTCTCTCTGGGGTATATTCCCAGTAATGGGATTGCTGGGTCAAATGATTTCTCTATTTGCAATTTTTTGAGAAAGCGCCACACCGCCTTCCACAATGGTTGCACTATCTTACATTCCCACCAACAGTGAATAAGAGTTCCAGTTTCTCCACATCCTTGCCAGCATTTGTTGCTTGCTGTTCTGTTATATTTTGCTATTCTTACTGGGGTGAGATGATATCTCATAGTTGTTTTCCCCTTTGCTCATTTTGCTTTTTAGACCTGGAGAACCTTGGCTTCTGGGAGGACGTGAACGAGATCATCACAGGCTCAGAGCTGATCACAGGCTTCCCCTATACCTTTACGGTTCCAGGCTTGCCCCAGTACCTCCAAAGCCTCACCAAACTAGCCATAGCAGCTGTGTGGGCAGTGACAGCCAAGGCTGAGGGGCCGACAAGGAGCATGACCATCGCCTTCCCTCAGCTGTTAGAGTCTGCTTTCCCGGAAGTACGGTCCCTGACCCTTGGCACTCTGTTAGAAAAGTTCTCAGCAGCAGAGAGGGGACTGCCTCCTTTACTGCATGGTTTGAGAGAGAAGTTCTTGATGATGGCTGTGAAGGAGAAGCACCCAGAATGCTTCTGCAAGGTAATGTCTCTGGTGTATGTACCACCCCTAACCCCTCACTGCCCACTCTGCTGAGCCCAGTGGAATGATAAAGCCAGATGGAGTGTAGACCCTGCAGGAGCAGGAGTTAGATTGAGCACACAGAGGGCAAAGGACTCTTTATACAGTGTTTGACCTGGGTTCATGGTTAGAAGGGCACTAAGAAAACATTTTTTATAATAATGGTATTGATGTCAGAGATTAACTAAAGACAGGGTGAGACACTGTTGTATGTTTAGGAAACAAATGGTTGAAAACTGGCTGTAGAAAGTGTCATGAGTCGGTCTGTACTGACATGGCTATTTAGGGGCAGATTGCTGCCTGTAACTTAAGGTGAAAGGCAAGGGCACCAATCTGTAATTTAAGCACATGGAGTTCAATGCCAGATCACTATGAACCCTTGAGCTTGGCATTGTTTCACCTGCTCAAAAGTATTCAGGGAGACAAGATGTCACCAGGATCCTTGAAAGATAAACCCCATGGTCAGTACAAGTGAATATTACTTTACATTTTGAGATGTTTTCTGGAGTGGTTTGTGGTATGGTTTGTTTTTTTCATGGGCTTGGCTTTTTATTCTTTGTACAGATACTGAAAATCCTTCATTGCATGGACCCCAGTGAGTGGCTTCCACAGACAGAGCGCTGTGCCCATCTAACCCCAAAGGAGTTCTTGATCTGGACACTGGCTGTCGCTTCCACTGAAAGGTTTGCCTCTGATGCACCCTGTGCAACCTGGATACAATGCGCGGTCCTGCCAGTCAGCTATACCATGAGCTTGTGCACAATCCTGGCCCAAGAACTCGGGTCCTTGGTTTCTTGCACAGCTTCAACCTAGGAGCTGTGCTGTAAGCACAAAGATAGAATGATGGTAGTGTTTCACATAATAACCAAAATGTTATTACTTCTGAAGGCGCTTAAATAACTAGAAGGTGGAGATTCCCAGCATTGACATCTGTATGGATAACAGTTAGCAAAAAGTATGTGAGTATAAAATCTGTTTGGTTTTTTTTATTTATTTGTTGACTTATTTCTTCTAGGTCTGAAATTCAAAGCATAGCTCTGAGACTTGCCTCCAAGGTGATTGTCTGCCACCTGCAGATGAGTGAGGAGGTAAGGCTGACTGTGTTCCTGTCCTGGATCTATCTGATCTCAGGGATCAGTAAACATGAAGTGGCCGAGGCAACAGATTCACCATGGTGTGTGTGCTTAGCCTTGTACCCATGAGGGTAACACAGCCTCCTCCCTTCAACACACACATATGCCTAAGCTACTATTTCCTCCCCCATTTTTCAAGTTGGACTTTATTTAAAAAAGAAAGGTACAAGTTAGTTCCAATTATACTTGAGATTGCAACTTGGTGCACTAAGTATGACTCATAAAAATGAAAATGTATCACTAAGGCCGAACTATTCCCCAGAATAGGGCACGCTGGCTCTGGTGAGGCCCAGATCTAACCTACGTGTTTTGCATGTGATTTAGAGGGAGGTGGAACTAATTGGCATAAACTAAACAGATGTATAGGAAGATGTCTACTTTGGCGTGTATGAGAAAGATGCTACCACCACGTTCATTAGCTGGTACCACAGACTTATTCATTGCTGCCAATATCACAATAAAATTAACTGAAGATCTTGATTACAGATTACCACACATGGTAGTGGCATAAGGCTTCTGATCCCGTGCCCTAACTATAAACCCAGCCCTGACTAGATAGTAGGCATTCTAATATGAACAAAATCTGGAAATACATCCTATTCAGATTAAAAGGGAAGTAGAGAGTTGGGACTCCCCGGTGGTGCAGTAAAAGCTCTCAGTTGCTAATGGAAAGTTTGGAGATTCCTAGGAAGAAAGGCTTGGCAATTGTATGGTAATTACTTCCAAAACACCAGCCTCTGAAAACCTGGAGGAGCGCAGTTCCACTCTGACAACAAGGGCGTCATCATGAGTCAGAAGGAACTCAGTGCAACTGGTACTTTATAAATAATTATATTAAATGTCCAATAAAGAAATATACTTGGGCCATGAGAACCCTAAGAAAAGGAGCGTGTTTGGGGGGAGCTGAGGATGACGTCATAGAAGAGAGAGCTAAGTTCAGAGTACATGAGGCTGAACAGTTTAAAACCATCATGTTTGAGTCAGCAGGCAAGTGAATGATTTCCTGGGTCTGCTCAAAAGCGGATCAGTTTAAGACAAGGCAGTCACAGTTGTTGTGTGCCACTGAGCCAATTCAGACTCACAGCAACTCAGCAGCATAGACTAGAATCCCCCTATAGTATTTCAAAAGCCATAAATCTTTACAGAAGCAAATTGCCACCTCTTTTTTCCATAGATGAGGTGGTGGGTTAGAACTACTGACCTTTCAGTTAACGGCAGAGCACTTAACCACTTCACCACCAGGACTCCTGAGGTGGTCTGTAGGACTTGCAAAAAGCAGCGCCCTCTGCCACAAAAAAACAAAACAAAACAAAACAAAAAAAACAAGTTCTGGGAACGACATGGGATATGTAGGAAGGGAAAAAATCTGCTAAAACGACAGCAGAAAGGGAGAGAGCGCGTCAGTTTCTAAGAAAATAGTCACAAGACTGCTCAGCAAGTCTGCAGAAAACATCGTTCTCATCTAAAGTTGTTTCTAAATGGTTGTGATGTATGTTTTAATGAAGCGACATTTTATGGAAATTGAGACTTTTCCAGGGAAAGAAATATTAGCAAAACTTTTGGACACATAAGAAAAACTCTTAAGAAAATATGAGTTTCTGTGTACAGGCGGAGTCAGCACCTTCCTCAGAGATAATCTCAGGTGCCACCAGATGCATTCTGAGCATTTAGGGAGATTCAATAGATAGGGCAAGTACATTCCAAACCACAAGCCCTTTTCTGAGAAATATAAAAACAGGGCTTTGTTTAAACAGTTGTGTTAGAATATCATTTCAAATGTTGTAAAAAGAGCCATAAGTACATTCACGTAAATAAAATAGAATCAGTGCAGAGCAAACCTTGCATCCTCACAGCATTGATTGCCCCAGCCCCAGTTCTATTGTTCTGTTCTCTGTGGCGTGTGATTTTTGTATGGTTCCCAGTGGTAGCTCCATTTTCCACCATCCTGTCTGTTTTGACGAGGAGGACAGGGAACCCAGAGAGGGAGAGGCATATGCATTTTCTAAGGCGTGATTTGCCGTACACAGGCAACACTTGCCGTACACTATACCAGGAGACTGGGAAGTGAGGTCTGCGGTGGGTTGACTGCCCAGATGGGGTTCTCTAATTAAAAAAGAGGGAGCATCTGGCTATTAGAGACAAGTACAATTTAATGCCACAATATTTTCTTTTTACTGAAAATATAAAATACAGCTATTTTCTGGTAATCCAATTTATATCAGAGGGAAAACCAAGAAATTTAATCTGTAGTTCCGGTGGCTCCATATCACTGAAAACAAGTCAGCTATTCTTCCTTGGGCTTGTTTATTTACTAGTGGGGTTGTAGAAAGAGTTGTGAAAAAGCCTTCCTACTAAGATTACATAGAACTCTGGTGGCCTAGTGATAAGGAGCTGTGCTGCCAACCGGAAGGCATGCAGTTCAAACCCACCAGCTCCTCTGCAGTACAAAAATGGGCAGCCTTCTGTCATGTAATATTGCTCTGAAAACCTGCTGGAGTGTCAGCTATGGGTTGGTTCTGACTCTATGATATATAACAAGGCTAAGAGCTGATTTGCAGGCCTGGTTTGATGTGATTCTTCCTAATAACCATGTCAGCACATAGTTGCACCTTGTAAACCACTGATAAATACTTTGTGTACTCAGGACAGAACATCAGTAGCCCCTGCACTGAAACAGTGGGTTCAGCTAGTCATCTCGTCCTGTGAAGAACACCTTCCCACAGAGCCTAGGGTGGCTGCCGCAGAGGTCCTCACCAGCACTGCACCATATTTCCTCACCAGCCCTCATCTGATTCTTGGTGAGTGATTTGGGGGGACATTCATTGTGTCAAGCCTCTAAAAACCTGAATAGATGCAAGCTGAAAAAAGAAAGAAAGTGGAAAATTGCAGTATGTATCACACTATTCTTTCAAATTAACATCATACTCATTCCTGCCATCTTAATTTATATACTCACTGTTGGCTGTTTGTTATGTGCTGTGACTCATACAGGCCCTATGTACAACAGCCCTGAGCTCTGCCCTATCCTGAGACAATCTCATCATCTCTGACAGACCCAATCCCACTTCTCCAGTTACTGAGTCAATCCATCTCACCCTGGGTCTTCCTCTCCTGCTCTATCCCTCCACCATTCCAAGAATGATGTTTTTCTCCAAGGACCGGTCCTACCTGGTCACATGCCTGAAGTATGTGAGATGGAACTTTAAAATCCTTCCCTCCAGAGAGCAGCTTGGTTTCACCCTCTCCATGACTGACCTGTTTATTCTCCTGGCAGTCCATGATATGGTCAACCTTCTTCTCAAGCACCACAACTCAAAAGATACCAATTCATTCTTACTCACTGTCCAGCTGTCACAGTAATTATGAAGACCATGGCTTGTCTCAGGTGCACCTAACTAACCAGACTGACATTGTTGCTCTTCAGTACTTAGAGAGCTCCCTGACAGCAGACTTCCCGAGTGCAATTCATCTTCTGATTTTCTGTTTGCTGGTGCCAAGACTGTTGATTGTGGAACAAAGCAAGCTGAAGTTGTTAGCAATCTCAATCTCTTCCCCATCTATTATGAAGCTGCCAGTTGGCCCAGTGGTGAGAATCTTTGTTTTCTTGATGTTGCACTTCAATCCATATTCTCACTACTTGAAAAAAAAATATTACTTATTGTGTTTTTGGTAAAGATTTACCAGCAATTTAGACTCTCATTCAATTTTACACAAATTTTCAGTGGCATGTCTTTTTATTGCATTATTCATAATGTGTGGGGGTTCCTATTATTTCTCCTCTGGTTGTTCTGTTTCCTTTATTCTAAATCCATTGTCCCATTACATTTTCCATCTTTGTTTTAGAATAATTATTGGCATAAAGTCCCATATCAGTGATTTTTTTCAAGAAGCACAGTGCTGCTTGTTATTCATTATTTTTTAATTTATTCCATTAAAGTGACCTAAAGGTTCATTTTGGTTCTAGATTGAAGGAGTTAGCATATTATTGAAGGAGTATTTCCTAGCATATCTCAGGGAGTACCAGTCTAGTAAATCTGGTGTTTTGGTTTTCGTTTTATTGTTAGGGACTTGAGATTTCTTCCCTCTTTTCTCTCAGGGTCCATCTTCTATGACCCAGAGTAGAACCAGTACAATATCTAAGTACCATCTTCTGGTCTCAGGGTAAGTGAGGCCATGTTTCATGTAGTCTGTTTGTCCCTGGGGACTAGATTTTCCTTTGAGACTTTAGTTTCCTCCTCTTGCTCATGACAAGTTGGGAATAATAATTCTATCTTAGATGGCTTCGCACATGTTTTTAAGACTCCAGTCTGAAATCACACAGCAAAATAGGATGTAGAATGTAACTTTAAGAACTATTCTAATAATTTTTCACCAACAGCCTCTTTGCTGAACTGTTTTCTTTCAACTTGGATCCTCAGTACATTCAAAAATAAAAACCTGAAATAAAAACCTGATCACTCACTCCACTGCTTAAAATTTTTAAGGTGTTTGTTTTTTTTTATTATCTTCAGGATAAATTTAAATACCCTTTAACATGCCTCATAACATCCTTTCTGTTCTGACCCCTGCCGGTCCTCATTGTCCCCAACTCTTACACAGCCTCTGTGCATCATGAGTAAGTAACAATTCTCTATGCAAACCACTGTTTGACTGACTCTTTCAGATCTCTGACTGTTCCCTTTTCCAGGAAACCTGTTACAGTAATCAAAGTGAGAAGTGAACTAGTCTATTTGAGATTTTACAGCATGGAAAAAGAGAACAGGTTCAAAAGGCATTTTGGATTACCCAAATTAAGAAATTAAATTGGTGACATTACAACCAAGCCATCAGAGATAATGAAAATCATAACTGAATATTATAAAAAATGATACTTCAACAAATTAAAAACCTAGATGAAATGGGAAAATTCTTTGAAACACACTACCTACCCAGGCTAATAAAAATAGAGATAGGAAATTGAAACAGACCTACTAAAATCAAGAGATAGAAGATGTCTTTAGAAATAAACTGCCAGCAAGAAAAAAAAAATCTCAGGACCAGAGTTCCACCAAACATTCAGAGAAGAACTGACAATACTCCTGCTAAATCTGGAGGAGGAAGCACTACTGACCCCTTTGTATAAAGTGCACATAACCTTAGTACTCAAACCAGAAAATGAGAAAACAAAAAACAGGATGACAACTATTTTTTTTTTAATTGGGAAAAACATATTGGGGGTACAAGGAGGTGAGGGTTGGGGGCAGAAGGGTGAGGATGGGCCAGGATGCAGCTGCAGAGCTGCATAGTTTGGTCGGTAGGGGGAGCAGGTGAAGGAAATGATCAGGGTCCAGTGGGGACCAGATGCTACAGAGGAATGACAAGCATTTTCCAATGGTAATTAAACCAACTGTCTTACTGATTTGGGAATTGGATGCCGACTCTCTGGCTTCTTCATGCTGAACAGGGGCGTAGATGTAAAGGAGGGAAGGGAGGACGCTTTATCACCTTACTGGTGGTCTTGGGTTAAAGCTGCTTGCCTTCTTGTTCTGTTAGAAGATATTTTCCTGTCATTTGCTCCCCTCTGGGCAACTATTCTTTATGACCGTGGATGCAGAAAATTTCAATGAAATTTTAGCCAACAAACATTAGCAACATAACAAAAAAAGCATACAGCATGATCAAGTCACATTCATTCTTTTTTACAAAGGATTCATTCTAAATTGCAAAGGTGGTTCAATGTTTAAAAATCAAGATTATGGTAGATTTACCATATAAATGAAACAAAAGAATTGTATAATCATACCAATAAATTGATTTCTAAAAGGCACTCAATATAATTCATTACTCTTAACTGATAAAAACTCTCAACAAAAGTAACAGTAAAAGGGAAATTTCTCAACATGACTTATTTAGGAGACATATGCAAAAGTCCAGTCTGGGGCACTCTGGTGGCTTTCTTTAGTGGTCAGGAGTTACACTGCCAGCCCATGGTTAAATCTACTGCCGGCTGTCTGAGGGAAGGATGGGCTGTCTCCTCCAGTGCATTTGCCCTTGAAAGCCTGCTAGAGGGTCAAGTTCGGGCAGTTCAAATGCGACAGCACGAAATAACAACATGCAAAAGTAATAGTCAGCATTATACTTAACGGAGAAAGACTAAGGACCTTCCCTTTGAGAAAGGGAATGAGACAAGATTAGCCTTTATCAGCTCTCTTTACTCAGTGTTATATTAGAAGCCCTAGACAGAGCAATAAAATAAGAGAAGAAAATGTATCCAAATCAGAAAAGAAATAAAACGACCTCTATTTGTAGATGACCTGATCATATACATAACCAGCTCTAAGTTTCTAGGAAAAAACTACTGGAAGTAATAGAAGAATTCAGTGTCATTGCAGGGTACAAGGTCTGTTGGGTTCCTCCATACTAACTGTGACTACTGCAGCAAATAAACCAAGAGACCAATACCATTTATAGTAGCCCCCAAATTTATCAAATACCTAGGAAATAACCTAACAAGAACATAAAGAAATGTATAAAATGAAAATTAAAACCACTCCTATAAGAAAATAAGAGAAAGCTACAGAAATTAAAGACATCCGTGCTTATAGATTGGAAGACTTAAAGTGAAAATGTCCATCTTCCCTAAAGCAATCTGTAAATATAGTGCAATCCACAACATTCTTTACTGAGATTGAAAAACTGTTGACCAGTTTGATGTGAAAAAAGAAAAAATACTGAATTGTCAAAGCAATGTTGAAGAAAGAGAACAAAGCACAAGGCTATATATTGCCCAGCAATAGAATGTACTGGTGCAGCCATGATAATCAAAAGTAGCCTGGTACCAAATTCAATGCCATACATATAGACTAGTGGAAGAGACCTGAACACCCAGCATTAAACTCATCCATCTTTGGACAAAGGATTTTCAACAAGAATCATAGTCTACCTTTGCCACCAGGATGTCTTTTTCCAAGAACTGACCGCTCCTTACAGACATGCACAGAGTATGTGAGATGAAATTTTACATAAAGAACACCCTGACTGTACTTTCTCAAAGCTAGATTTGTTCTTTTGTCAATCCATGGAATACTCAGTATTCTTCTCCAGCACCACAATGCAAAGGCATCACCCTTAGTCATTGTTCAACTTTTCAGATGCTTGAGAGGCATTTGAAAAGAAACAAACTTTCTAAGTAAACCAATGTAAAATAAAATTAAAAACAAAAAATACCATGGCTGGTACCCAACACACCTTAGTCTTTAAACTGACATCCTTCTTGTTTAGCATTGTGGAGAGACCCTCGACAGCATATTGTAATATAATACAGCATGTCTTTTTGAATTCGAGTGCTGCTTTCATGGATGTTCATTGTGGATCAAAGTAAAATGAAGTCATTGGAAACTTTAGTCTTCTCTATCTATGATGCTGTTGCCTTTTGGTCCAATGGTGAAGACTTTTGTTTTTGTAAAGGTGAAGTGTAATTCATATCAAAGGCTTTGATCTTCTATAGTAAGTGCTTTAAAGTGTTCACTTCGTCCAAGCAACATTTTTCTTCATATAGTCCAGCTTCTTGAATGATTTATCATTGCTAATCATGCTAATCATGCAGACTGAACAGGCACGGGAAAAGGATATAACCCTGCTACACACCTTTTATGATTATAAACCATGTAATGTTCTCTTGTTCTGTTCAGACGACTATTTCCTGATCTAGGTATAGGTTTCTCATGAGCACAATTTAGTGTCTGGAATTCCCATTCTTCACCATCTATAATTTGTTACCATCCACACAATCAAAGCCTTTGCATAGTATCTTTCTTGTATTCTCTGCTTTCAGCTAAGATCCATGTAGCATCAGTAATGATATCTCTTACTCCATGACCTCTTCTGAATCCAGCCTGAATTTCTGGTAGTTCCTGTCAATGTATTGTTGCACTCATTTTGAATAACCTTTAGCAAGATTTTTCATATATTATTAATTATATTATCCAGAAATTTTCACATTCTGTTGGATCATCTTTTTTTAGAATGAGAAGTAAAGTGGATCTCTTCCAGTTGGCCAGGTAGTTGTCTTCCAAATTTCTTGACATAAACTAATAAGCACATTCAGGGCTGCATCTGTTTGTTGAAATATCTCAATTAACAGTCCATCAATTTCCAGGGCCTTGATTTGCTAATACCTTCATCGCAGCATAGACTTTTTTCCTTTCATTATTATTGGCTCTTGGTCATAAGCTATTTCCTGAAACACAGTTTCAGGGTTTGACCAGCAGTTTTTTTGTACTGTGACTTTGTATTCCTTCCATTTTCATTTAATGCTTCCTGCATCATTCATAACTTTCCTACAGGATTCTCCAGTATTGCAACTGGAAGTTTGAATTTGTTCTTCAATCCTTTCAGCTTAAAAAATGCTGGGCAAGTTATTATCTTTTCGTTTTCTAGCTCTAGCTCATTGCACATTTGATTATAATACTTGGCTTCATCTTCTCAAGCTGCCCTTTGGAATCTTTTGTTCAGCCCTCTTACTTGATTAATTAGTGTTTCCAAAGTCAACCTTTGACCTTATTTTCACTATGATAGTGAGCTTCTCCATAGACATTTTCTACAGACATATTAAACCTATTTTCTGTGTTGTCCATCAGGTGAGGCCCATACTTATTGGTCAAGTTGTAAAGATTTTTGTTTTTATGATGTTGAGCTATAATACATATTAAAGACTGTAGTCTTTAATCTTGTACAGCAGATGTCTCGAATCCTCTTCACTTTCTGAAAGCAAGGTTGTACAGATATTTTGAAATAAATTAGTTGTATGGATCTTAGCTGGTTTTTAACCTTTTTCTCCGTCACATGTTTTTTACCTCCTGTCATCATAATCCTTCTAGAGGAATAATTAGGCAAGAGCATCATGTTCAATATTTAAGAAAACCAAGCTTTACCAAACCCTAAGGAATAGAAGCAGCAGAGTTGGCCACACAAACATGGGTTTTAATTTTTTTAAAAACAACAAACAAAACAAACCAATCACAAAACACCCAAGAACCTAAAGCCATATCTTCCCCTACTGTGTTTAAGCTCCTGCTATCATGCTGTGATTCAATTCTTCTCCATTAGGATCCTGTTTTTGTTCATTTCTCCTGTTCCCAGCCCTGGAAAAAAGGACAAGATTCAGGTCTCTAAAGAATTGTTTCTATAACTGTGAAGAAAGAATTTACAGAATAAAGGCAAGAATTTGTTTCTTAGAATATGATATTCAAATTGAAATATTCTAAGAGTTCAAATAATTGAAATATTTCATGTCACTGAATCTCTCTAGAAGACACTAGTCTTGGATCCTTTTACTTCTTTCATCTCAGTAGCATTTGTTCTTTTAAGCCTTTGTAGGCATTTCTCTTACCCAAATGGGCCTTGAGAAGGGACTTTCTGTGACTGTGACTTAATCACTAGACCCAGAGGAGTAAGTGTTAAGATTAAACTTCACTCAAGTGGCTCTAGTAGGTTTAATATTAAACTAGTATAGTAGATTTTCTAGATGATTCTGGTTATTATCCCTAATAGGTAGAATGGTTCATAACAGGCAAAATGAATGTTGAATAACCCTCAATGATTGTGTGATATTCACTCCTAGCCAAAAAATAACAGTTCCTATAACTGTGTGAATATGTAATGTTGTTGTTGTTAAATGCTGTTGAGTCGCATGCTACTCATAGCAATCCTATGAATGAAAACTTGTGTGCGCAACCTTCATCCTTTCTCCAGGTTCATAGGGTTTCTAGAGGCAAACTGTTTACTGAAGTGGATGCCACTCCTGCTTCCAAGCTTGTTTGAACCAGGGAGCTCCACCAAACACTGTCCACTGTGGGTAACTGTTACCTCATTCAACACACCCGTGTCACAGTGTTCAGCTTCACAGAAACCACAAGTTACCTCTGTATAGCAAGTGGACACACCAGGGTTATATGACCTAGACAATTGTTTGAACAAAAACAATGAAAAACAGGCCTAAGGGTCGCGGATTAGTCACCCACCTTTGGCTTGGTAGCATCGCTTTCGGTCCACTAGGCCAACTGGTTTCTCTGTGTTGAATATGTAATACTGGCTATAATATTTTGGGGAATGAGAGGGAGATTAGTGGTGGATTATGAACTGAGAGACAAGGGGCATATAAATACATAGGAATGCATATTGGGCAAAGCAAAGGCAGTTAAGAAAAAATTAGAAATGGACTGAAGAAGAAGTACTGAGAGTCTTGAAGTCCTTATATCCTTGATATAAATGACCATGTTAGAAAGGAAACTAAAAAAAGGCAGGAAAGTATTAAACCTTAGAGAACAATTAAAAAGGTTTATTCTGAAAGACAGTAAAATTTAAAGTCAGATCTGTAGTGGAAAGAAGAAGACAAAAGCTCACGAGGAACCATTGCTGTTCTTTGGATGCTAACCAGCCAGTGAGTTTGGTATCTGGCTTTCCATGGAAGGATGAGGGAAAAAAGAAACAAAGAGGAGCTCAAAAGATGTGGGGTTTCCTCATTGAAAGGGCAAGGTGGGGTGTGTGTGTGTGTGTGTGTGTGTGTGTGTGCGCGCGCGCGCGCGCACGCGCGCGCACGCACGTGCACTTCTGCTGACCCCTACAAGACTGGTCACACATACTGTGTCCCACCCACCTGGACCACAACTACCTTTTCTGTGATTCCCTGCCCACATGTCATCTCCCTCATGAGGTCTTTGAGCAAGTCTTTGTGTGGATCATAAAAAGTTAGGGATAACATTAAGAAGAATGGAAACCCCATAACACTGAACTGTGCTCATAAGAAACCAATATATAGACTAAGAAGCCGTTGTCCTTACAGAATAAAAGAATATTACATGCATTAAATCAGAAAAGCTGTGGGTCAGGGTTATATTCTTTGTCAGTGTCTATTCACTCTGCATGCCGAGCAAATAATTCAAGAAGCTGGACTATATGAGAAGTAATGTGGCATCATGACTGGAGAGAAAGCCAATCAACAACCTGCAATATTCAGAGGGCACAACCTTGCTTGCCGAAAGTGAACAGAGCTTGAAGCACTAACTGCAGAAAATCAAAGACTACAGCCTTCAATATGGATTACATCTCAACATGACGAAAACAATCCTCACCACCGAACCAATAGGCAGCGTCATGATAGAGAAAAGACTAAAGTTGTTAATGACTTCATTTTCCTGGATCTACAATCAGCACCAATGCCAAGAGCATTCAAGAGATCAGAACACATATATTGGGAAAATATGCTGTCAAGGACTTCTCCAAAGACCTACAGAATAAGATATTAGTTTAAAAACTAAGATGGGCCACCAGTTCATTGTACGTTGGTATTCTGAAAAGGTGAACAATGAACAAGGGTGATAAAAGACTTGATAACGTTTAATTGTGGTGTTGGAAAGGAGTACTGAATGGGCTGGCAAAAAAAAAAACCAAAAACACCACCAAACAAAGCTGTCTTGGGGAAGTGCAACCGGGGTGTTCTTAGAGGCATTGATGGTGAAACTTGTCTCCCATACTTTGTTCATGTGTGTGAGGAGGGGTCAGTCCTTGGAAAAGCCGTCTTGCTGAGGAAGACCTTCAGCAAGTTAGATTGCCACAGTGACCACAGCAGTGGACTGGAGCATCTCAAAGACAGGGTGGATGGCACCGGATAGAGCAAGGTTCAGATTCCTTGTTCATTGCCTTCCTGTGAGTCGTAGTTGACTCAGTGGCACCTAACAACAACAACAGTGACATGAAGTCTCCCAGTTACACCAGCCAGCTCTGATCTTTCCTTATTTGAGTCACCACTGTGCAATTTTATCCTTACTTTCTCATCTCTTTATATCGTTTTTCCTTTCTGTGGGCCACAGGAGTGCTTAGCCCAGGCTGACTAGACCCAATCTGTGCCCTGAGGTAATGGCTGTCAGTGAGCCCTCATGGAGTGGATGCTTGCATGTGCTCTTATCATGAATCTGTGCCCTTTCTTGACCTCCCCTCACGCCCCCAGCATAGTCTTGATTGAAATTTGGGTTTTGGAATGTATGAGTTTAATTATCACTCAAATCAACCCTGAGCTAGTTTCCCCTAAAGCACTCTTGATACATAAAGTTTCGTTCCTGAGAATCATGAGTCACAGCGGACAGCTGGGCCGAGAGCTGGTCAGCCAGACAGTACCTTCCAGTACCTTGCCTGCACTCGATACTCCAGAAGGCCTGATCTCCCCAAGTACCACTTCCAGACCTGTCCCAGCAGGACTCTGTTTTCTCCCAGTGTTTTGCTCCCTCTCACATTTTCCTTTCATTACTCAAAGTGAGGATTGGGGGAGTAGTCTGCTCTCTTCTGCCAGAAGCAGCGCTTCTTGCCACTTGTAAGTTGCATTCTAGATGATTTCTGTTTCTCTTTGGTACTCTCAGGGCTGCAGGATACACTTGCTCTCTGGAGATGCATCTTCACCCTGCTGCAGAGCGAGGAGCAGTCCGTCAGGGATGCAGCTTCAGAGATTGTGACAGCTGCCGTATCACAGGAAAACACTTGCCAAGCAACAGGTACTTTGTTTTTCTCCTTTTGCATTGATTTCTTTTTCCAGGACAGGTGTTAGCTAACTTTTGTATAACTAGTCAGTAGGGAGTATTTTCCCCTTTGTTGACCATTTGGTGTCGGTATCCCCACTACCATTTTAATGTGAAGCTAACTGCCCTGGTTGCCATGGTGCTGCTATGACAGAAGCACCACAGATGGGTGCCTTTAAAGAACAGCAGTTTCTTTTTCTCACACTTCAGGAGGATAAACAGGCCTTGAAATTCCTGGGCTCGTAGATCCATGAGCCTCCATCATCATCACATTAACATGTCTTGCATCTCTCTGTGAAAATGCTGTTGTCTATATAAATAACAAGGGAGCTCTAGTGACTTAGAGCTAAGGAATTCACTGCCAACTCACAGGGACACAGTTTGAGTCTACCAGCTGTTTCACCAAAAGATGATGGGCATTCTCCTCCCGTGCAGTTAGCTGCCTCTGAAAACTCACCGGAGGGTCTGCTATGGGTTGGTGCCAACTCAACTGTACTTAACAACATATAAATAACAGAAAAGTTATTTGCTTTAAGATCCATCTTACACTGTAGGACCTCCACAGATTGATTGATTAATTACATTACAGAAGGTGATGAAATGACGTTAAATTATATCGTTGGGTTGTAGGAGTCAGGATTCCACCATATATGTTGTTGTTTGTTGTTTTTGAGTACTGTTGAGTCAGAACCGACTCTTTGCTGACCCTCCAGTGGGTTTTCAGAGGCAGTAAATCACAGGGGGAGACTGCTTTTTTTCTCCTGTGGAGAAGCTGGTGGATTTGAACCATGTGTCCTTGGGTTGACAGAACAGTTCCTTAGCACTCAAACACCAGAGCTCCCTAGCTCCCTAATGCATATTTTAGACAGACATAATTCAATCCTTAACAGCAGCTATGAGCAATAAATAAACAAATATATATTTGTGTTCTAGTATTAAAATAGTCAGCTAGCCAGATCCGGTCTGCTGGTCATCCTTTGCAGAGAAAAGTGATTTTTAAATGTGGAAGTCTCATAAATAGTGAAAGGCTTTTGTTAGCTGCACTGTTGTCCCTCTTAAATAAGGCCGAGTCTTAATCCATCTAAGTGTGTAGTTATATAGCCCAAGAGCCCCGGATCCGTCATTTCATTCGTGTGTGAGTTGTTCCTTATGATGAAGCAGATGAAAGTTTCTCTTCTTTGTCCCCAGCTCTTCACTTGGTTAACCAGGGAGATGGGAGAATAGGAAAAAGGGGAGGAGATCACCTCTGTCCTTAACCTGATAGCCCTGGGTCATCAGAAGAGTATGTGTTGTGGGAACAGTGGGGAAGTCCTGGCTGCTGCAGAAAGACAGTGAGCTGCTGGGTGGAGTGAGGTACCAGGTCCCCCTCTGGAGAAATGGTTGTCTGAGCAAATTGGCACTTTGACTGGACTTGTATTCCCTCTGGCTGGGGCTGGGTAGCAGGCAACATCTATGATCAGCCATCCAAAAGAGAAGTTGGAGCAGCTTTTTAAGGCAGTTAGCCACAAGCTGAGTAAGTTTACCTTCATAGACATCTGAGTGGGAAGGAAACAGCCATAGTGTGTAACTGCTTTGGGGTGCATGCTCTGTGGCCCCTCAACAACATGGTTTGGGCTGCTCGACTTGACAGCACATAACAATAACAGTATCAGGGCTGTGAGCGCTTCCCTTGGAATCCATGGGCCTCCCATGATCAGAGTCCTCACTTGTAATGGTGTATGCTTAATCTCTGCTTGTATGGAAGAAGCTAATTTTTTACTAATCACTCAGTGGTTCTACTCCTGTGTGGGGTTAGTCAGAGATGCCCTTGCTTCTCAGTGAGGCCTCCAAGCTGGTGTTACAATGATGAACAGTCAGGCCTCTTCTGCTGCTTCCCACTCGGCCAAAGGCCAGGGGCTCCCTGTCACACTTCTTTGATGTGTAGAAGTCTGCCAATCATTCCTTTCTCCAACTGCAGGTTTTCTTTAAAAGGTAACACAGGTCATCAATAAATATTTCATGGAACACAATTATGCTCACTAATTTTCCTAGAACTCTCTCAACCAAAGGTGGGAGAATCATTTCATGGAGGAATCCATAAGTGGAATTCTTCCTTCTGAATCTTTTGCTTTGCAGTTTTTTCCATGCTTATTTATTGTAAAAATCCATAACTGTTTTTCCATTCCTTCTTTTAAAAAAGAGTGTTTTCTTACATTTTCTAATAAGTATTAATTTGTCTTCTCTCCAGGAGTATCAGTCACTTCAGTTTGTGAATGTGCCTGCTGCATATAAAACCTCTAGTGTGAGGAGGGCTGTCATGGATGGAAAGATGCTCAAATCTTTTGTTTTCTATTTTTGTGTCTTTCATCTTGGTCTTGAAAAAAAAATATTTAAGATGCAAAAAGGGCAAGTACTACGTGCAATTAAATCCAGCATGTTGCCTGGACCTAGTCCAGAGTGATAGTAAGAGTGGGCCCATGCATGTCGGAGACTGAGGATGGCACAGGGTAAAGCAAGGTTCCAGCCTGTTGTTCAGAGCTCACTGAGTTGGAATCTACTCAATGGCACATAACAACAACACTCTTCTACTAGAGAGAACAAAACCATAAAGGAACTTAATTAGAACAATTGGCATTTTGCCTCTCGAGTAGATAAAATCAGTGTTAGACTTCTTAAATTTGATTACCTGCACTGTGGTTTTGTAAAATGTCTTAGTATCTGGTGCTGTTGTAAAAGATAGCTCAAATGTGGGTGGCTTTAGCAAACAGGAATTTCTTTTTTTACTGTTTATAAGACTGGAGTCCAGATTCAGAGCACAGCTCTAGGGGAAAGGCATCCTTCTCCTGTCCCATCTCGAGGAAGGTCCGTGTTTTCCTAGCTTCTTGGTCCCTTAGAATTCTCCATGTGTCCTCTCTCTCTGCCTTACCCCACCTCTACTTGTGTTGTTGCTTTTATGTGTCAAAAGAGATTGACTTATGATACAACCTATACTAATCCTGCCTTGTTAACATAGCACAAACAAACCATTCCCAAATGAGATTAGAATATACAGCACATATTTTTAAGGGGCCTAAATTGTGCTTTCCAGGGTAGGAGGGAGACTCATAAATAACCTGCATTATGTAGATCACACAGTTTTGCTTGCTTCAAGTGAGTAGGACTTGAAACATTTGTTGCAGATCAAGGAATGCAGCCTTTGGTACGGATTGCATCTCAGTGTCAAGAAAACAAAGATTCTTACCACTGGACCTATAGGCAACATCAGGATGGATAGAGAAGAGACTGAAACTGAACAGCTTCATCTTGCCTACACTCACAATTAACACTCTTGGTGCCAGCAGTCAGGAAATAAGGAGACATATTGCACTGGGAAAGTCTGCAGTTGGGACCTCTTCAAATTATTAAGGAGTTATAATGTTAGTTTCAGGACTAAGGTAATCTGAATCAGGCCTGGTCTTTCCAGTCATTTGCTATGCATCTGAGAGCTGCGCAGTGACTAAAGAGGACATAAGAAGAATTGATGCCTTTGAGCTGCTATATTGGAGCACTGAACAAACACCCTATGGACGGCCAAAAGAACAAGCGAGTATGTCTTGGAGAAGGTGCAGCCAGAGTGCCCTTTAGAGGCAAGAGTCATAAGGCTTCACCTCACATACATACTTTGAGCATGTTTCTAGGAGGGGCTTTTCCTTGAAGAGTACATGACACTTGGAAGGGTGACGGTTCAGCGAAGAAGAGGAAGACCTTCAACCAGGTTGACTGACATGGTGACTGCCACAAGGGGCTTTAATGTGTCAGGAAGTGTGAAGATGGCACAGGATAAGACAGAGTTCAGATCCGCTGTTCATCGGGTCACTATGAGTTGTACTTGACAGCACCTAACAACAACAACGACAAGTTGTGTTGGAGAATAGTATTGAGTATCCCATTGACTGCCAGAAGAACAGCCAAATGTGTCTTGGACAAAGTACAGCTAGGATAGACTTTGGGCAAGAACAGATTTGTTTATTCTTTCGGCAGTCCAGTTAAGCACTCTTCTCCAGCACCACAATTCAAAGGCATCAGTTCTCCTACTGTCATCCTTGTTCAGTGACCAGCTTTCGGGTGCATAGGAAGTAATAGAAAATAAAATTACTTGGACCAGGTGCCCCTTAGTAAACTGACTTCAATGTTCTTTAGTGCTGTGGAAAGGTCCTTGACAGCAGGTTTCCCCAACACAGCATATATTTTGATTTCTTGACTACATGGGTGTTGATTGTGCATCCAAGTAAAATGAAATTATTTCCAACTTCAATTTTATCTCCAATTCTCACAGTGTAGCCTATAGGCTCACATCATATGAACCAATATATATACATAACCCAGAAAGTCTCCTCCTGTCAAGTCAATTCTGAATCATGGGAAACCTATAGCTAGGCGAAGATGCTATCATATGTACAGATCTAGGGAACATTGCATGGTTCAAAATTAAGAAAAGAATGCATCAGAGATGTATCCTTTCTCCATACCTTTTCAATCTATATGTGGAACAGGTCCTTCGGGAGGCTGGCCTTTTTTTTTTTTTTTTTTTACAGAAGTTTTGGATTTCCATTCATTCATTGCCGCAATTTTCTCCCTGCCCACCCCTCCCCACCAGCTCACTTCCCCCTCCGAAGAGAGAAAAAGAAAAAAAAATTCCTTCATTAGTATACAATTTCCACGTCCCTTCCCCCCACCCCCCACCCTGAGTACACTTCTCTATGCAACCTTAATTCTGGATTCCTGTGCTAACCATAATACTCAATCATATATCACTTCTAATCTGTTCTTTCCCTCATCTGTTTCAATACAATATACATAATTTATCCAGTTTTTTCTGTCATACCCCCACCCTGATGTCAGACCCATTCTACAACAGTGGCACCATGCAGTATCTGTCACTCTGTGACTGAGATATTTCACTCAGCATAATGGTCTCTAGGGTCACCCACTTTGAATAATATTGCATGAGTTCCTTG